GTACCTCTTCAGTACAGGAAAGACTGTGCTATAACTTAAATTGCCAGGCACACCATCTAAAGGGTACAAAAAGATACAAAACATCCAGGCCATGGGAAAACCTGGGTAGCCACAGCCACTCAAGAGGGAGAGGTTTTTTAGTGCCAGGAAGGAAAAAAACTGGCAGGAAATGGCAGAAATCGTACACCAAATCCAGTCATTCCTGGAGTGGAACCACAGTCGATGGCCTCCACTCCAAACCAACAGATACAGATACTAATGCCGGAAAAAAATCCCCCCCCCCCAGTACCAACAATACCACCAGTCCGATGACATTCTTCTTTGCAAATATACAGGGTCTAAAGCCAGCAACAAACAACAAAATACCTTTCAATCCGTGGACTGCTTGCAGAGGCAAAAGGCAATGTTCGCGGCTTTCACTGAGACTCACATAAAGGATCACTTGGACAACGAAATATGGATCCCAGGTTACAACCTATACAGGCAAAAAGGGGGGGGGGGTGGCCTGTACATTGCAGAGTCACTTGTTTGCACAGAACTGCTAAATGCCTCAAATGATGTAGTGGAAGTTTTAGCAGTAAAGGTCGAGAACCAAAACCTAGTCATTGTGGTAGTCTACAAGCCTCCGGATGCAACATCCCAGCAATTCCAGGAACAGCTGCTAAAAATTGACTACTGTCTGGAAAATCTTCCAGCTCCTGCACCCAACATCTTGCTCCTGGGGGATTTCAACTTAAGGCACCTAAAATGGAGGAATATAACAAATAATATTGTTGTAGTAATAACACCAGGAGGCAGCTCTGATGAAAACTCACACTCACCCGAGCTTTTAAATCTTTGCACAAAATTCAATTTAAACCAGCAAATAATAGAGCCTACAAGCCTCCGGATGCAACATCCCAGCAATTCCAGGAACAGCTGTTAAAATTGACCACTGTCTGGAAAATCTTCCAGCTCCTGCACCCAACATCTTGCTCCTGGGGGATTTCAACTTAAGGCACCTATAATGGAGGAATATAGCAAATAATATTGTTGCAGTAATAACACCAGGAGGCAGCTCTGATGAAAACTCACACTCACAATAGCTTTTAAATCTCTGCACAAAATTCAATTTAAACCAGCAAATAATAGAGCCTACTAGAATGGAGAATACGCTAGACCTCATCTTCACTAACAATGATGATCTGATAAGAAATGTCACCATATCAAAAACAATATACTCAGATCACAACATAACTGAGGTTCAGACATGTATGCGCAGAACCCCAGACCGACAAAATGAGATTAGTCACGAGGGAGCATTCACCAAATTCAACTTCAATAACAAAAACATAAAGTGGGACCAAGTAAACCAAGTCCTAACCGATATAAGCTGGGAAGATATACTAAGCAAAAACAGACCCCAACTTATGCCTAAAAACAGATTAACTTGGTGGCACTCGATGTATGCACAAGACTTATTCCTCTAAGAAAAAGGAGGAGTAGATGTAAAATAGAAAGAGACAGGCTCTCTCTTTAAACAGGCGACGGAAAAGAATAACAGAGCGGCTAAAAGAGGTCAATCTATCTGAAATGCGTAGGGAGACACTGGTCAGAGAAATAGCAAACATCGAACTTAAGCTAAAGGAATCTTATAGGAGTCAGGAATCGCGGGAAGAACTAAAAGCCATAAATGAAATCGAAAGAAACCCAAAGTATTTCTTCTCCTATGCCAAATCAAAGTCGAGAACAACGTCCAGTATTGGGCCCTTACTTAAACAAGATGGGTCCTACACAGATGACAGCAAGGAAATGAGTGAGCTACTCAAGTACCAATATGACTCAGTTTTTAGCAAGCCACTAACCAGACTGAGAGTCGAAGATCAAAATGAATTTTTTATGAGAGAGCCACAGAATTTGGTTAACACAAGCCTATCTGATGTTATCCTGACGCCAAATGACTTCGAACAGGCGATAAATGACATGCCCATGCACTCTGCCCCAGGGCCAGACTCATGGAACTCCGTGTTCATCAAGAACTGCAAGAAGCCCATATCACGAGCCTTTACCATCCTATGGAGAGGGAGCATGGACACGGGGGTCGTCCCACAGTTACTAAAAACAACAGACATAGCCCCACTCCACAAAGGGGGCAGTAAAGCAACAGCAAAGAACCACAGACCGATAGCACTAACATCCCATATCATAAAAATCTTTGAAAGGGTCCTAAGAAGCAAGATCACCACCCATCTAGAAACCCATCAGTTACACAACCCAGGGCAACATGGGTTTAGAACAGGTCGCTCCTGTCTGTCTCAACTATTGGATCACTATGACAAGGTCCTAGATGCACTAGAAGACAAAAAGAATGCAGATGTAATATATACAGACCTTGCAAAAGCCTTCGACAAGTGTGACCATGGCGTAATAGCGCACAAAATGCGTGCTAAAGGAAAACAGGAAAAGTCGGTCAATGGATCTATAATTTCCTCACTAACAGAACACAGAGAGTAGTAGTCAACAGAGTAAAGTCCGAGGCAGGCACGGTGAAAAGCTCTGTTCCACAAGGCACAGTACTCGCTCCCATCTTGTTCCTCATCCTCATATCTGACATAGACAAGGATGTCAGCCACAGCACCGTGTCTTCCTTTGCAGATGACACCCGAATCTGCATGACAGTGTCTTCCATTGCAGACACTGCAAGGCTCCAGGCGGACATCAACCAAATCTTTCAGTGGGCTGCAGAAAACAACATGAAGTTCAACGATGAGAAATTTCAATTACTCAGATATGGTAAACACGAGGAAATTAAATCTTCATCAGAGTACAAAACAAATTCTGGCCACAAAATAGAGCGAAACACCAACGTCAAAGACCTGGGAGTAATCATGTCGGAGGATCTCACCTTCAAGGACCATAACATTGTATCGATCGCATCTGCTAGAAAAATGACAGGATGGATAATGAGAACCTTCAAAACGAGGGATGCCAAGCCCATGATGACACTCTTCAGGTCACTTATTCTATCTAGGGTGGAATATTGCTGCCACACTAACAGCACCTTTCAAGGCAGGTGAAATTGCTGACCTAGAAAATGTACAGAGAACCTTCACGGCGCGCATAACGGAGATAAAACACCTCAATTACTGGGAGCGCTTGAGGTTCCTGAACCGTATTCCCTGGAACGCAGGCGGAGGACATGATTATATGCACCAAAAAATCCTAGAGGGAATAGTACGAACTTGCAAAACGAAAATCCACTCTACGAAAGCAAAAGACTTCGAAACGATACAACATCCCCCTAATGAAAAGCAGGGGTGTCACTAGCACGTTAAGAGCGATACAATAATGTCCAGGGCCCGGACTGTTCAACGCTCCCAGTATAATTAAGGGGGTTACCAACCGACCCGGGCAGTCTTCAAGTGGCATGGACAAAGCACCTAAATTGGTTCCTGATCAGCGGATGTGGCTCGTACTTTGGGTTTGCGTGCAGCCAGCAGTAACAGCCTGGTTGATCAGGCTCTGATCCACCAGGAGGCCTGGTCACAGACCGGGCCCGGAGGCGTTGACCCCAGGAACCTTTTCCCAGGTAAACCCGATAAAAAGGGGGCTTTCCTATAAAGTAATATGTAAAAATGATGTCAACTATTGTCTGTTTACCTTGTACATGTACTTGTAGTAAATAAAGATATTATTATTACTATTATTATAGAAAGCCCCTTGTTATGATGAGCATTTCGGGCAAATTAGGTCAGTTTTGTCCCAGGATGCGACCCATACCAGTCCACTAACACCCAGGTACCCATTTTATACTGATGGGTGAACAGAGACAGTAGTTGTCTTATGGTAACACATCCCTAATGTTTTCCAGCCGTACTGGAGGAGATTCGAACTCCGGACCTCAGTGTGTGAGCTGAGTACGCTAGTGATCCAGCTACGGGACACCTAAGGCACAAAAGAAAGCCACTAGTATGGAAATTAGCCACTTTTTTTTTTGTTACCTGGAGGGGTGTTTCGGGGGTCAACACCCCCGCTGCCCGATTCATAATCAGACTGATCATGGTGTGATCAACCAGGCTGTCACTGCTGGCCGCACTCAACATAGGAACCACAATCCGACTGGTCGAATACTGACTTGAGGTGTCTGTCCAGCTCCCTCTTGAAGACAGCCATGGGTCTATTGGTAATCCCCCTAATGTATCCTGGGAGGCAGTTGAATAGTCTTGGGCCCCTGACACTTGTGTTATCTCTTAACGTACTCGTGGCACTCCTGCTTTTCATTGGGATGATGTTGCATCTGCAGAGTTTTTTGAGTCCGTAGGAGTGATTTCCGTGTGCAGATTTGGGACTAGTCCATCTTAGGGAATCACAGATTCTTGAGTTCGCGATTCCCTTTACAATGAGTTGTGAGCCGTAGCAAAGTTACTCTTGATATTGTTAATCCACTTCTTGAAGCTGAATTCGTCTGATACATCTGTTTAGTGGACATTGTGAATTATGGCGGAAAACACGAAGCCTAAAGAGGTCAAGCAGTGCCTGGGAAATAGGTAATTCAGGTTCAATATAAGGAAGGAGAGCATAGATCTAATTCCTTGTATTAAGATTATTATAATCAAGGGGAAGAGCTAAACCTGTAGGATTACATAGCGCCTGGGGCGGGGGGATGTGGAAGATATTCAGGGAACTGGATCACAGGTCCAATTCCCTAGATCAAGGTCCCTTCACCAGCATCAAGGAACCTACCTTGAGGGGGCAACTGGACTGGAAATCCTCAACATGAGAATCTTTCACAACTAGATAACATTAAATAACATTTTCAGTCTTCAAGACGATATACCAATCTGTAAGTTATACCTGTGAAGATATATATAGTTTAGTGGGTCCTGTAAATACCCAGATGCCCAGCTTTAAATACCCAGATGCCCAGCTCCTTCAATAAACGTGAAATTGACCTTTTTTTAAGCACAATAAGAATCTACCAACTACAATCACACGTCTACCTACAAACTACATCTAATTACCTTAAATCTAATTATATTCTCGGGGAAGCACTAAACTCTGAAGTCATATAGCGTCTGGTGAATGGAGTGCAGTCAGGGGTTAATGGAAGGAAAAGGGACACAGACAGAGCAAGCCCTTGAAGTGATGTAGACATCAGGATACTTGACTCAGACAAACGACAAGCTGATAAATTAGACACATGTGAAACACTTATATCTTTGTGGAAACTCGCCACACAGTGGCTTCATCAGTCAATGCGAAGAATGGTGAAAATCAGGAGTTTGAGGTAATCAGTCCCTGATTACCTCAAATTCCTGATTTTCACCATTCTTTACATTGGACTGATGAAGCCAGCGTGGCGAAACATTTCCACAATAAAGACACCCAACTGCTTCACATGTGTCTAATTTACAGAGATAAAGAGAGTGAGAGGAGGTTGATGTGTGTCCATGTGTGAGGTTGGTGGAGGTGGCCGGGGTGGCGCTGCAGATGGCGCTGGTGTGTCACACAAAGCTGCCACATCACCATTCATTTTACTCTTTTCAAGACCTTTACCAGCATGCCTGTCAAACTTTACCTCCTGATTACGGAATCCTCGCCGACGTAGATTAAACATGATGCAAAAATTAAAAACAGTTCTATTGGCCATACACATGGAATTATCACAGTGAAAACTCATCTGTTTTTAGTTCAACTACATAACCAATCAACAAATAACAACATTTAACAACAGGATGAGAAACCTTTAAGAAATGGAATATGTTAGGTTCTAAAGATATATTTTAATGAAGATAAAGGGATGGTTAATGGAAGAGGTTAGATGTGGTAATAAGGTGTGTTTGATGATAGTGTTAGTGTGGTAGTTGAACTGGTAGTGGTAGCGGCGTGGTCACGTGACTGGTGGTACCGTCAAGGCAGCACTAGTTAACAACATGGCCGCTCCTCAGCCACCACAGGTCTGCCGGGGGATTATTAAGCAGGTTAGCACGCTAATTCCGCAACGCCTGCGATTGTCATCAATGAAAAGGCGCCTTTTTGAGGGAGTGCTGTGGATATTTGTGGGAATGAGAGGCGGGTGGTGGGTGAAGGCGGGTGTGTGAGGTGTTGGTGTGGATGACCCGTGGTGCCATACATGGAGCCAGATGGACCCTATCAGCTCCTCTAAACACGTGTGTAATAGTGTAATATCCTCCCTCATATGCGTCCTACCAGTGACCTACACGCAACACACTGCTCTACCTGAGTGACCTTTAAACCATGCAAGGGAAGTCTGGTCTTTGTGGTGGAGGTGCGTGGGGCCACCTAGCCAAGTTTTTATTAAAACCTGTATAATTCTAAACCTGGAAATTATTTCATGTAACAATGTTGAATATAACTAAGGATAACACGGTAGAATCACACGTAACTCTACCTCCATTAGCGTATGTGAGAGAATTATTCTCTCAACCCTCAACTTTAACACCAGTGTTAACATGTTAACAAAAGTCTTAATAAGCGTAATATAAATGATGGAATAATTGTAAGGTAGGTGAGTTACAAGTAAGAGTGTAGGGAGCTGTCTAATAATAGAAAATGCTTGATAACATACCCTCTGCTGCTGCTCCTTATGTAACGATTTTAATAATTTTCATGTTTTTTATACACAAGTTGATCTTTTTCTATGTGAGTTGCGTAGCTGTAATGTAAAGTTACACAGATAACCCGCATATAAAAGTGTGACTTTGTCAATGGTCCAAGTCGGACCGAAACGTCGTCGTGAGCTTCTCTCTTTTATGTGCGGGTTATTTGTGTATCGTTCCAGTCACGGTATTGTGCCTTTTTTTGTTATTAATGTAAAGGTAATTGTTGCTCTAAATGTAGGTTATCCATTATAAATGTTTATTTGTAATTACCGTTTTGTAAGACCCCCAATGGAAATAAAGAACTCCAGTGGAAATCAAGAACCCCTATGGAAATCAAAAGACCCCAATAGAAATGTGGATCCCACTGAAAATAAGTCAAAAACCCCAATAGAAATAAGTTACTTTGACGTTTTTTTTGGTTTATCATTGGTAATTTACACTGATAAATTTACTTTTATGTACCTGTACCTAAAACTAATTGAGGCAACACCATGGCTCGGCCTCCAATTTTTCTTTATAGTAGTCATGGGTAAGTCATGTCCAGTCACTAATGCAGTTGCTGCTAAGAATAATAAAGCACTGCAGTTGGACTGCTAGCCCATGCTAGGCAGGTCCAACCCTTGCCTGACCACACCCACTCATTTATGAATGCTGGTCATCTTACCAATATTATAAAGTTGCTGATCAGCCAGAACATTATTTTTTGTACTGGCAAAAACTTCTTATATAAGAACATAAGAACATAAGAACGAAGGAACACTGCAGAAGGCCTACTGGCCCATGCGAGGCAGGTCCAAGTCCCTACCGGCTTAAGCCAATGCACCCAACCTAGTCAGGTCAGGTCACATTGACTCAAGGGAGGAACACGGCAACCGACCCGTTAGCACAAGCTATCAGGTCTAACTCACACCCACCCACATCTACTCATGTATTTATCCAACCTATTTTTAAAGCTACACAACGTTCTGGCCTCCACAACGGTACTTGGGAGTTTGTTCCACTCATCCACAACTCTATTACCAAACCAGTACTTTCCTATATCCCTCCTGAATCTGAATTTTTCCAACTTAAAACCATTGCTGCGAGTCCTGTCTAGGCTAGATATTATCAGCACACTATTTACATCCCCTTTATTTATTCCTGTCTTCCACTTATAAACCTCAATCATATCCCCCCTAATTCTACGTCTTTCCAGAGAGTGCAGTTTCAGGGCCCTTAGTCTATCCTCATAGGGAAGGTTTCTGATACATGGGATCATCTTTGTCATCCTCCTTTGTACATTTTCCAGAGAATTTATATCCATTCTGTAATACGGTGACCAAAACTGTGCAGCATAATCTAAATGAGGCCTAACCAAGGATGTATAGAGTTGAAGAACAACCTGAGGACTCCTATTATTTATGCTTCTTGATATGAAGCCAAGGATTCTATTAGCTTTATTGCGAACACTTATGCACTGTTGTCTTGGTTTCAGATTACTGCTAACCAGAACTCCTAAATCTTTTTCGCAATCCGTAATATTAAGATCTACATTATTTAGTTTATATGTGGCATGGTTATTGTCCTGTCCAACATTTAGAACTTTGCATTTGTCTATATTAAACTGCATCTGCCACTTCTCCGACCACTGCATCAGTCTATTCAAATCTTCCTGGAGTGCTCGAATGTCCTCGTCAGAATGAATTCGACGGCCTATTTTGGTGTCATCGGCAAACTTGCCGATGTCGCTCTTTATGCCCTCATCTATGTCGTTTATGTAGATTGTGAACAGCAGGGGGCCCAACACTGACCCCTGTGGAACACCGCTCGTGACGCTTCCCCACTCTGATTTCTCCCCATTTATGCAAACTCTCTGCTGCCTATTTGTCAACCATGCCTCTATCCAGGAAAAAAATTTCTCCTCCTATTCCATGTGCTTTAATTTTCCTCAATAGTCTCTGATGTGGGACCCTGTCAAAAGCCTTACTGAAGTCCATATACACAATATCATATTCGTTACCATGATCTACCTCCTCAAATACCTTAGTGAAAAAAGTTAATAAATTCGTAAGGCAGGAACGTCCCTTTGTTAAAACCATGCTGAGATTCGTTGATTAATTTATGCTTTTCAAGGTGGCTACGAACTGCCTCGGCAATTATTGATTCCATAAATTTTCCCACTATGGAGGTTAGGCTTATTGGTCTATAGTTCGAAGCTAAGGACCTGTCACCTGTTTTGAAAATAGGTATCACATTTGCCATTTTCCACTTATCTGGCACCATGCCAGTTTGTAGTGATATGTTGAAAAGATTAGCCAAAGGTGTGCTAAGCTCCTCTTTACATTCCTTTAGAACCCTTGCATACAGTTCATCAGGGCCTGGGGATTTGTTAGGTTTTAATTTATCTATTTGCCTAAGGACCATGTCACTTGTGACCCTAATAGTGCACAGTTTATTATCGTCCTGTTCTACATAATTTATCATTACTGGAATATCACTGGTATCCTCCTGTGTAAAAACTGAGAGGAAGTATGTGTTAAAAATTCTACACATTTCCTTATCACTGTCAGTGAGCTGACCCGAGGAACTTTTGAGTGGGCCTATCTTGTCCCTGATCTTACTTCTGTATACCTGAAAGAATCCTTTTGGGTTAGTCTTCGATTCTCTTGCAACTTTAACCTCATAATCTCTTTTTGCTTTTCTAATTCCCTTTTTTATTTCTCTCTTTAACTGAATATATCGATTTCTTAATTGCCCCTCTCCTCTTTTGATTTGCCTATATATGCCTCTCTTTTGACCAATCAGATATTTTAATCTATTGTTCATCCATTTAGGATCATTTTTGTTTGATCTGATTTCCCTATTTGGAACATAATTTGACTGAGCAGCTAGAACTATGCCCTGGAAAGCATCATATCGGCAACCATCACCACCTACCTGACCCCTAGTCAGGTCATTCCAGTTCAGCCCACCTAAGTAATTTTTCAGTCCTATGAAATCAGCCAAGCGAAAGTCAGGGACGGAGACTTGATTGCCATTATTAGGGGAATTCCATGATATGTTAAAACTGAGTGATTTGTGATCACTCTCCCCAAGCTCATCATTAACCTCATTAACTATCTCTCTGACTCATTTGTGTCTTCAACTTCCAATTGTGGCCTCTTGTTTCTGTGTCCCCTCCCTGGAACATCCTGTCCTTGTCCACCTTGTCTATTCCACGCAGTATTGTGTGTGTGTGTGTGTGTGTGTGTTAGGTGGTCATAGAGTTTTGTGAATATCTTGGTTACAGTGATTTTAGTGGATTTGAGATGGGTGATGAGATGCATTTGTGGATGTGAAATGTGATTTTTGTGTGTGTTCAGAAGAGGTGTGTTGGGAGATGGGTGAGTGGATGTGAAGAAATGCGGGTGAGATGGAGAGGGGTATGGGGAGGGTTGTATTAGAAATTTAATGAAATATGGGGGGGATTTTACTGAAAATAAAGGTAATGTGTGAATATTTTAAAAAGAAATTATAGAATTGAAAAGTTATTATATACTGGAAAAGAATGGAGGGTATTGAAACATGTCGCAATAGTTGGGTAGTGAGATTAGTTGATGTGAGTATAATATTAAGATAACATTGTTTGGAATTTTAACCCAGAGGGTTAGGCACCCAGGATAACCCAATAAAATCAGTGCATCATTGGAGACTTGTCTTATTTACTTTGGGAATGCTATTGACAAGTTGGCTAACATGCAGATATTTATCTACTGCTTGGTGAGCAGGGGCAGGAGGTTTAAGGAAACATGCCTAATGTTTCACCAGTGATCAATCCCCAGTCTCAGTGAGAGCCAAATCTTCTGCCTTGACTCTGTCATTGATATCAAAGTTCCATAACTTTGCTGGATATTTTGCTGATCACATACAGCAGTGCTTATCCTTAGGGCATCTGACAAATGTCACCGATATTCCACGTCAGTTATCAGTGAGTTATCTAGGTGGCAGGTTCAGTAAAGTGTTTAACCCTTAAACTGTCCAAACGTAGATATACGTTTTTTCAACATTTGAAAGTATGTAAAAAAGTAGATTTTTTTTTACATTTGAAAACGTGTAAAAAAAAAAAACTTTGATTTTTTTTATTGAAAATATATAAAAAAAACTTAGATCTACTTTTGGAGCACTACGCATATGAACATAGATCTGCTTGGACAGTTTAAGGGTTAAATGTAACCATGCCAATGAGAGGCTCTTGATCCAGCTTATATTTGTCTCATTGGCAATGGCCATGCCTTGATCCAGGATAGCACTCTAATCCTATGTGCAGACAAGCACCAGATGACCCAAGTCTATGGTCAGGCTCTTAGAGTAGAAAAACTCTTGGAACTCATCAAAGGTGTATCAAAGTACGTAGCTACCTTGAACAAACTCCTGTATGGAACAGTTATTAAAAATATTGAAACAAAAAACTGGAAATTCATCAGGTAAGAATACCTCTTGTAAAATTGCTTGAGATTTATTGATCAAATTCTTCCAATGTGACATTAATTCCATCAGCTTTCTGCACAGTTCAGGCTCACTGATCTGTAATTAACTACTAAGGATCTATATCCTGTTTGCTATGGGTCCCTCAAGAGGTGCGGTGATGTCAATGAGGGGCTCTTGATCCAAAGAATTGGAGCTACTCCCCTTTTCCATTTAATAATTCTTGCATGATCCCTGCAAGTTTAGAACTGTCCCTATGAATGTGATATTAAAACAGTTAACCAGTACAAGTAGCACCTGGTTGATCAGATGAACACCAGACAAGTCTGACCCAGGGCTGGGCTTGGGGAGTCGTAAAACTTTAAAATCATCAAAGGTACACGCTATATCAAAAGTAAAGGTTTACCTGGAGAGGGTTTCGGGGGTCAACGCCCCCACAGCCCGGTCTGAGACCAGGCCTCATGGTGAGTCAGGGCCTGATCAACCAGGTTGTTACTGCTGGCCGCATGCAAGCTGATGTACAAACCACAGCCTGGCTGGTCAGGTACTGACTTTAGGTGCATGTCCAGTGCCTTCTTGAAGACAGCCAAGGGTCTATTGGTAATCCTCCTTAACGTATGCTGGGAGGCAATTGAAGTCTTGGGCCCCGGACACTTACAGTATATTCCACATCCAACCCAGTAGCCATTTGCAGTGATTTCTTGGAGAGACTAGATAATGGTCTACTAGGTTGCTCAGCAATCCCTTAAAACCCTTGAAAATACTTTATCAGGCCCTGGTGACTTGTTTGGTTTTAATGTATCTTTGAGGACCATGTCATTAGTGATTATGATCTTTCATAGATCACCTTCATCCTGTCTTGCATAATTATTGATTTAATGGGATTTCATTTGTAATGTCCTGCACAGATACAAAGAAATAAATGTTAAAAGTGGTACACATTTCTTTGTGAATACAGTGGACCCCTAGTTTGCGTTATTAATCTGTTCCTGAGAGCTCATCGTAAACCAAAATTATCGAAAAGCGAATCAATTTTCCCCATAAGAAATAATGGAAATCAAATTATTCCGTGCAAGACACCCAAAAGTATGAAAAAAAAAAATTTTACCACATGAAATATTAAGTTTAATGCACAAACTGAAGAAGACATGCACAGTTTGTAGTACTCTACTAACAATAGAATACATGACACTTACCTTTAATGAAGATCTGGTGATGATTGATGGGATGGGAGGAGGGGAGAGTGTCGAAGTTGTTAATGTTTAGAAGGGGAATCCCCTTCCATTAGGGCTTGAGGTAGCAAGTCCTTTTCTGGAGTTATTTCCCTTCTTTTAATGCCACTAGGACCAGCTTGAGTCGCTGGACGTCTGTCGCACAACATATCTGTCCATAGAGGCCTGTACCACCCGTTCCTTTATGACTTTCCTAAAGTGGTTCACAACATTGTCAGTGTACAGGTTGCCAACACGGCTTGCAATAGCTGTGTGAGGGTGATTTTCATCAAAAAAGGTTTGCACTTCAAGCCACTTTGCACACATTTCTTTAATCTTTGAAGTAGGCAACTTCTTCAATTTCTCTATCCCCTCCTCCGAAGCAGTTTCCTCAGGTCTGGCCTCTTGCTGTTAAGATGATCTAGCAGCTCATCAGTGGTTCGTTCGTCATTGTCCTCCTCCACCAACTCTTCCACATCCTCCCCACTAACCTCCAATCCCAAGGACTTCCCCAATGCCACATTGGATTCCTCAACTGGCATAGGATTTCCAGGGTTAGCCTCAAACCCTTCAAAATCCCTTTTGTCTACACATTCTGGCCACAGTTTTTTCCAAGCAGAGTTCAAGGTCCTCTTAGTCACTCCCTCCCAAGCCTTACCTATAAGGTTTACATAATTGAGGATATTAAAGTGATCTCTCCAAAACTCTAAGAGAGTCAATAGTGCGTCTGTGGTCACTTCAAAGCACCTTTCAAACATAGCTTTTGTGTACAGTTTCTTGAAGTTGGAAATGACCTGCTGGTCCATCGGCTGCAGGAGAGGAGTGGTATTAGGAGGCAAAAAAAGAACCTTAATGAAGCTCATGTCCCAAGAAAGTTGCTCTGCCAAGTCTGTAGGATGACCAGGAGCATTGTCTAATATCAGGAGGCACTTAAGGTCTAATTTCTTTTCAGTTAGGCAATTTTTCACATTGGGGCAAATGCATGGTGTAACCAGTCATAGAAAGTCCCTAGTGACCCATGCTTTACTGTTTGCCCTCCACAGCACACACAAATTAGCCTTGAGGACATTCTTTTGCCTGAACACTCTGGGAGTTTGAGTGATACACCAATAAAGGCTTCACTTTGCAATCACCACTAGCATTGGCACACACTATGTATGCCACTACGATTCTTAAATCTTTCAAACCAACCTTTGCTGGCCTTAAATTCACTCACGTCACCACTAGTTGCTGGCATTTTTTCAATTAAATCCTCATGCTACTTCCTAGCCTTTTCACAAATGATCGCTTGAGAGATGCTATCTTCTGCTATCTGTTTTTCATTTATCCACACCAATAACAGTCTCTCAACATCATCTAACACTTGAGGTCGCTGTTTCGTAATCAAGTTGCACCTTTTGCAACAACAGCTTCCTTGATTGTCGTTTTCCTGGTCACTATAGTGGAGATGGTTGATTGGAGTTTGGTATACAACCTGGCCAGCTCCAGCACATGCACTCCACTTTCGTACTTTGCAATTATCTCTCTTCATTTCAATAGTCATTAGCACCCTTTCTCTCGAAGGGTTGGCACTAGAAGCTTTCTTGGGGCCCATGGTGACTTACTTTGCAGAAACAAGCACCAAAAACACTGTGATAATATGGAATGTACCGAATGTATCCTTAGATGCGAACACACTGGCTGGCGTGTAAACACTGGCACACACGGGGCAGTTCAGGACACACATGGACACGTCTCGGATGAATCGCGTATACCGGGTTTTTAACGGGAACCGAGGCAAAATTTTTGTTAGAATGTATCGCATACCGGATTTATCGGATACCGATGGCATCGCGAACCGGGGGTCCACTGTATAATGCATATTTACTACATTTTTTATTGCAAAAATTGACTTGCTTGGCAGGTTTTATCTGGCGATGCTGTCATTGTTCGTGGGCAGCCCAAAGGGGGGCCTCCCCCGGAGAGACAAATCAACTTTTCCAATGTTGTTGCTCCACGTACAGCTCGACGAGCGACATCAAAGTGAGTATAGTGTGTGGTAGAGGTCTTTGAGGTTTGTCTCATGACCTCCATATCCTTCCTTGTCTTGGAGTAAAAAATTAAATGAGGATTGTGTCTCTCATTAATAGTAGTACATAAGCTAGGATTTTCAGTGTCATAGATATACTTATCTGCATAATAGAAAAGTTGTAATTCAGCTTGGCAGTATAGTAGGTGCATATAAATCACAGTACTCTAAATAGTATGAAAGTTGATGTGCACTGATATATTATAGGATGCTTAATCATACAGAAGTCTAAAATACTGTATACCCTTCTTAATTGACTGGTCAAGATTAATGTAATTGAGGATGTGCTTAAGGTCGTGTAGCAGGTTACTAATCAGGTCCTCTGGTGCCTAAAGTGACTGATTGATCAACAGTATTTTGTATATAGCTTGGGGTATTTCATAAATTTTGTTCATTTATCTGAATTTTACTTCATATTTTTCATGCAAATACTGGAATTTGTATTTTTTCCTACAGTGCTCCCGAGACTACTGACGATCCTTATGGCTGGGAGAGCAGAGAATTTTTGCGCAAGAAGGTGATTGGCAAGGAAGTTCTTTTTACAGTTGAAACAAAGACTTCTACTGGAAGAGAATATGGTTCTATTTACCTTGGCAAAGGTTGGTGTCTTATATCATGGATGATATGTGATCTTTAATTATATTCACAGTACCTAGATACAGTATTTTGATTAATAAATTTTATTTTTTTCTGAGCGTCATTCTTTTCCTTGCTTTAATATTTTTCTTAATTGCCTTATATTTTCCTTCTTACCACATAGGACATTGTCAGATGTTCTGAAAACTGAGTTTCAAGTATACTGCATATGTATTTTATCAAACATCATGATGTTCAGCAGCTGTTTACAAGACTACATAGTCTTTAATATGAGATTAATCCAGCACAGTGTGCTGGAGTTAACTAGAATAAGTATTTTAAATGCTAGGTATGGCTGGATTGATAGATTTGAGGCATATTGTTCACACTTAAATTAAGTGACAGGTTGTGACTGCTGAAGACAGTGCAGATGATTTTAACAATGTTCTATATCTGTACATAATTAAAGGTAGTGCCCTGAGAATTTCAGTGTTTAGAGTAAATAAAAAAGTTTAGATAAAGGTATGTGTCCAGAGTAGTGCTTTTGCAGAGGGGACTGAGCTGAGACAGACTGAACCAAATGACTTAATCTAAAGGAATTTAAAATGAGAGGTGATATAAAATATTTGTGGCAATGATGAGAACAGTCTTTACAGTAGAAGTATTTAGAATCAGGGACACGTGTAAACACCATCCCCAAACCATCTGTAGAGATATGAGATGCATGGTAAGAGCAGTAACGAAATGTGTAGAAGTAGAATAAGTTAAGCAAAACATGTAGCAGACTCAGACACGAGTCTAAATTGATAAAGCTAAGGAAATGAGTTGCAAAGACGACTAAAATTGTCCTTGTTAATTGACGAGTCTTAACTACATTAAAGATAAAAGAATAAAAAAAAAATTTAGTACAGTGGTACCTCATGTTATGAACTTAATTTATTCCAGAAGGCTGTTAGTGCCAATATATAACGAATTTGTCCCCATAAAGATTAATGTAAATTAGATTAGTCTGTTTCAGACCCCCAAAAATGCATTTACAAAAGCACTTACAAAAATACGTACACTTACATAATTGTTCGAGTTAGCTGTTCAAAACACGAGGTACCACTGTACTTGTACAATCAGTGGGGAGAACAAAGCATACAGAAAGATGCCAGGAACAATGCTACAACTGTGGAAAACATTAAAATGTGTGGTATACTGAAGTGGAGACATGTACTAGCATGGCTCTTATAATCATGAATTTGTAATAAAGTAGTGTTTCAGTTTTTTAATTATGAAGAATCTCTTTAATTGTAACTTTTGCATATAGACATTGCCACTGGAGAAAACTTGACTGAAGTAATGGTTGCGGAAGGTCTTGTGGCAGTAAGACGAGAAAATATCAGAGAGAGTAATCTGATTGATCTTGAAGAGACTGCCAGAAGCCAGGGCAAGGTGAGTTGGTCAAAATTTATGCCTGACAGGCTAGGGTGTTCAGGAGAGGGGTGGGATTAAATTATGGGGAATCAAATACAAAATGGGAATTGACACAGTTGCTTTTTGCTGATGATACTGTACTTGTGGGAGATTCTAAAGAAAAATTGCAAAGGTTAGTGGATGAGTTTGGGAGTGTGTATAAAGGTAGAAAGTTGAAAGTGAACATAGAAAAGAGTAAGGTGATGAGGGTATCAAATGATTTAGATAAAGAAAAATTGGATATCAAATTGGGGAGGTGGAGTATGGAAGAAATGAATGTTTTCAGATACTTGGAAGTTGACGTGTCGGCGGATGGATTTATGAAGGATGAGGTTAATCATAGAATTGATGAAGGAAAAAAGGAAAGTGGTGTGTTGAGGTATATGTGGAGACAAAAAACGTTATCTATGGTGGCAAAGAAGGGAATGTATGTAAGTATAGTAGTACCATCACTCTTATATGGGTGTGATGCTTGGGTTGTGAATGCAGCAGCGAGGAGGTGGTTGGAGGCAGTGGAGATGTCCTGTCTAAGGGCAGTGTGTGGTGTAAATATTATGCAGAAAATTCGGAGTGTGGAAATTAGGAGAAGGTGTGGAGTTAATAAAAGTATTAGTCAGAGGGCAGAAGAGGGGTTGTTGAGGTGGTTTGGTCATTTAGAGAGAATGGATCAAAGTAGAATGACGTGGAGAGCATTTAAATCTGTAGGGGAAGGAAGGCGGGGTAGGGGTCATCCTTGAAAAGGTTGGAAGGAAGGGGTAAGGGAGGTTTTGTGGGCAAGGGGCTTGGACTTCCAGCAGGCGTGCATGAGCATGTTCGATAGGAGTGAGTGGAGTCGAATGGTATTTGGGACCTGACAATCTGTTGGAGTGTGAGCAGGGTAGTATTTAGTGAAGGGATTCAGGGAAACTGGTTTTTATATAGCTGGACTTGAGTCCTGGAAATGGGAAGTACAATGCCTGCACTCTAAAGGAGGGGTTTCGGGATATTAGCAGTTTGGAGGGATATGTTGTGTATCATTATACGTATATGCTTCTAAACTGTTGTTCTGAGCACCTCTGCAAAAACAGTGATTGTGTGAGTGAGGTGAAAGTGTTGAATGATGATGAAAGTATTTTCTTTTTGGGTCACCGTGCCTCAGTGGTAGATGGCTGACGTGTTAAAAAAAAAAAAAAAGGCACAAAGGTTTGATGATGTTAAGGTATATAGACTTCAGTTTTTTAGTGACCCAACTTTCACGCTGATTTGGTTATTTGGGGATAGGCATTCAGAAAATTAACCTTTTGAGTTTGTGTAATGGACACTTATAATATGTTAAGGGCACCCTACATTGGACTCGAAAACTGCAGTAGACATGAATGCTTTTAGTATTTCCATTGCTGTTTTTCTGTACATGTGGGATACCCTTCAGTTTTGTGCATAAATCTATAGCTGAATCTTATGAAGTACTTCAAAGTAGAGTTTTAAAATGAGTTTATATATAAATTTAGGTACATAAAATAAATTTTGTGTATGAATCTAATGAAAATAGGAGAAACGTTGTAGCACATTTTGAGTGTTCATTCATGGTATAAGACTGATGTGGAGACTATTCTGTTTTTCCAAGCTTCCCCCTCCCCCCCCCCCCTTTTTTTTTTTGTAGGTTAAAATAATTTTTTTGCCTATTTTTCTAAACTATTTTCTTTTGATGAGTTTTGGATTTTTTTTTATACCAAACAGCTGCTTATGAGGTATGAAAAGTTAAGATAATCATTTTCAATGCAAAATTATTTTTTTTAATACTGGCCATCTCTCATTGAGGTAGGGTGACCTAAAAAAGAAACTTCCACCATCATTCTTGTATCATTTCTATATTAAAATTGACTGGGGACTATATTTTTTCTATCTTTTGTGCTATGTACATTCATGTATATTATGCAAGTACTGATGGTGACATGTTCTATGTGACTAGCAGGCATATGTTGATTTTTGTTATCTGGCAGACCATTGTAGTTAGAATGGGAAATCTGGGTTGGAGGTGGTTTTTTTTTTTTTTTTTTTTTTTTTTTTGTAGTTGTTTGAAATTTTGTGAACATTTGGATTTAGGTATGCAATAACATAATGAAAATTTGAGTTTGTCAAAGTGTTTATTTGAAGTTTTAATGAAAATGGAAGTCTTTTGTTAACTAGCTGTATTAATACATGACTTCTTACTCACTCAGGGAAAGTGGGCAAGTGATGATGCAAAGCATGTTCGCAGTGTCAAATGGACATGTGAAAATATGCGCTCTTTCGTGGACAAGGCTAAGGGAAAACCCATTGAAGCTGTAATTGAGCATGTCCGTGATGGTTCTACAGTTCGTTGTTTCCTCCTCCCAGATTTTCATTATATTACTCTCATGATTTCTGGGATTAGGGTAAGTTACATAAAGTTGATGTTAAATGAAATTTATTGAATTGCATATGGGATGCTACAAGATGGGATTGAAGGATAAATTCTGGGTATTAATTTTTTAAATACAGTACACTTGAATAATTGGATATCACATTGGAGGGAGTATGGAAGAAGTGAATGTGTTCAGGTATATGGGAGTAGATTTGTCAGCAGATGAGTTTATTAAGAACAAAGTTGACCATAGAATTGATAAAAATGTGAGTGGTGCATTGAGGTACACTGGACCCCCGCCTTACGATGTTAATCCGTTCCTGAGAGCTCATCGTGAGCCGAAATTATCGTAAGGCGAATTAATTTTCCCCCTAAGAAATAATGGAAATCAAATTAATCTGTGCAAGACACCCAAAAGTCTGAAAAAAAAGAAATTTTTACCACATGAAATATTAATTTTAATAATACATTCAAACTTAAGAGGACATGCACAATTAATACTCTACTAAGAATAGAATACATGACACTTACCTTTATTGAAGACCTGGTGATGATTGATGGGATGGGAGGAGGGGAGATTGTGGAAATTATTGTTTAGAAGGGGAATCCCCTTCCATTAGGACTTGAGGTATCAAGTCCTTTTCTGGGGTTATTTCCCTTCTTCTTGTAATGCCACTAGGACCAGCTTGAGTCACTGGACCTCTGTCGCATAACAAATCTGTCCATAGAGCTCTGTACCTCCTGTTCCTTTAAGATTTGCCTAAAATGAGCCACAACATTGTCATTGTAATAGTCACCAGCATGGCTTGCAATAGCTGTGTTAGGGTGCTTTTCATATATAAGGGTTTGCAGTTCAACCCACTTAGCACACATTTCCTTAATCTTTGAAGTAGGCACAATGAATTCCACAACTGGCATAGGCTTCTCAGGGTTAGCCCCAAACCCTTCAAAATCTTTCTTAATTTCCATACTAATTTTCACCCTTTTTACCACAGGGTTGGCACTAGAAGCTTTCTTGGGGCCCGTGGTGACTTATTTTGCAGTTACAAGCACAAAAAACGCTGGGATAAGGTGAAATGTACCGAATGTATGCGTGGATGCGACTGCACTGGCTGGCTTGTAAACACTGGCGCTGAGGCCACACATGGGATGCGTCCTGGACGAATCGCGTGAGGCAAGTTTTTTAGCGCGAGGCGAGGCAAAATTTTTGCGTTAAAATGTATCATATGGCGGGATTTAATGTAACGCAATGCCATCGTAAGGCAAGGGTCCACTGTACTTTTTTTACACGTTGGCCATTTCCCACCTAGGCAGGGTGACCCAAAAAGAAAGAAAAAACTTTCATTCAATACTTTTACCATCACTCACACAAAATCACTGTCTTTGCAGAGGCACTCAGATACAACAGTTTATGTCCCTCCAAACTGCCAATATCCCGAACCCCTTCTTTAAAATGCAGGCATTATACTTCCCATTTCCAGGACTCAAGTCTGGCTAACCAGTTTCCTTGAATCCCATCACAAAATACTACCCTGCTCACTCTCCAACAGCTCATCAGGTCCCAAAAACCATTCGTCTCTGTTCACTCCTATCTAACACGCTTGCGCACGCTTGCTGGAAGTCCAAGCCCCTCGCCCACAAAACCTCCTTTACTCCCCTCCCTCCAACCTTTTCGGGGACAACCACTACCCCGCCTTCCTTCCCCAACAGATTTATACTCTCTCCAAGTCTCTACTTTGTTCCATTCTCTCTAAATGACAAAACCACCTCAATAACCCCTCTTCAGCCCTCAGACTAATACTTTTAGTAACTCCACACCTCCTAATTTCCACACTACAAATTCTCTGCATAATATTTACACCACACATTGTCCTTAGACACAAAATCTCCTCCTCCAGCTGCCTCCTTGCTGCAGCATTTACAACCCATGCTTCACACCCATATAAGAGTGTTGGTACCACTATACTCTCGTACATTCCCATCTTTGCCTCCATGGATAATGTTCTTTGTCTTTACAAATACCTTATCGCACAACTCGCCTTTTTTCCTTCATCAATTCTGTGGTTAACCTCGTCCTTCATAAACCCATCCACTGACAAATCAATTCCAAAATATCTGAAAAACTTCACTTTTTCCATATTCCCTCCCTCCAATGTGATACCCTATTTTTCTTTATCCAAATCGTTTGATACCCTCGTCACCTTACTCTTATCTATGTTGACTCCAGCATCTCCACATGCTTTTACAGATGCAGGTTCCATAATTGTGCTGCATACTCCAACATAGGCCTAGCATACGTTGTATAAAGGGCCAGTAATGACTGTCTAGATTACCGAAGCCTACTCTTAGATTTGCTGAAAGTTTTTTTTTTTTTTTTTCCTCGTTTTTTTTCAGTGCCCAATGAATAAACTAGATTCTGAGGGCAAGCTTGACAAGTCAAGTAGTGAACCATTTGCTGATGAAGCCCGCTACTTCACAGAATCTAGACTGCTACAAAGAGATGTAGAGATCATTCTGGAAACTTTCAACAACAATAACTTTGTTGGCTCGATCATCCATCCGGTGAGCATTATATGTTAATACGTTGGAATGCTTGTGTGCATTGACATGGTAAAATATACTGTTTTTTTTACTCTTCGATATTTAGTTTAGCTAAGAACAATATATTATGGCATATTGCAGCATACTAAAGTAGTTGCAGAATTCTCATATACATAAAAAAATTGTATGTCTAATACAGTATGGAGAGAGTAATTTATAGAAAATCTTATTTGGTTGTTTTTTAAAGGTTTACAGCTAAATGATGACTTGATATACCAGAACTTTTTCTTTGCCATACTTTTTTTTTTTCTTGAAGTAAAGCCTAGTGTTGAATGAGGCATGCACATAATAACTTGATGGAATTGTGTGCAAGTTTTTCAGAAAGTCGTACATGTATATTTTACTCAGTGTAGTTGTAGATATTTTATCCTACTTGATCACTAGCACTAGTGACCTGTGGCACTCAAAGCATTGTAAGCTTATCACTCATTCAGATTTGGATATTAATGTTATCTGTTATCAAGGATTATCATCAGTTCTTCAGATCTTGTTATATAATCAATTGTGATTAAGCCTCATGTTTTTCAGACATTGCAATCAAGAAATTATTACAGCTTGTTTTGAAATGTAATATTATATTAATTTCTTATCTTTCAGAATGGAAACATTGCTGAAGCATTGTTACGCGAAGGCTTTGCCAGATGTGTTGATTGGTCCATAGCAACAGTAACAGGAGGACCAGAAAAATTGAGGGCTGCAGAAAAACAAGCCAAAGAAAAGCAGCTTCGGCTGTGGGCAGATTACAAGCCCTCGAGTCTAACAGTAAGGCACTCGCCATTTGTTGACTTAGTTGTATATTCTTGGTAGAGTATGTATAAAGTAACCCAGTGGGGAAAACAAGTTAGCATAAAATTTGACCATACTGTGGGGATAGCTTCTAAGGTCACATCTTGTATACAAGATGTGACCACTATCAACACCATAAAAGTTTGTCAGATTCCACTTGTTTTAGTCTGATTTATAAAAATACACTTGCAATGTGTAACTATTTTTTGTTTTCTTGGAAGTGGGAAGTACAGTGCCTGCACTTTAAAGGAGGGGTTTGGGATAATTGGGTGTTTGGAATGACATCTAAAGTGTCGTATCTGGGCACCTCTGCAAAGACAGTGATTATGTAAATGATGGTGAAAGTGTTTCCAGCATGTGGAAAAGAAAAAGAAATTGGCTTTGTCCTGCTAAATAAAAATGCAAGTCCTTAATTCACTGATCTTATCAGTTTATGAATTTTTTAATGCAGATTGCTGACAAGGACAAGGAATTCACTGGCAAAGTGGTAGAAGTTGTTAATGGTGATGCTTTAGTAGTAAAACGGCAAGATGGCACAACTAAAAAAATATTCTTGTCCAGTGTAAGGCCTCCAAGGTAAGTAGAGATTTTGCAACATTCTGTGCATTCTGTACTTGATAAAATATAACAAAACTGGACAAGTTTGTGAAAATGGGTATTGCAACATATTTCTAAAAGTTGACTCGATATAAATACAGTACCATGCATATAAAATGCCATTTTGAAATTGTGTTAAGTGAATAATATATTTATAAACTAGGCTGTATAGAAAAGAATAAGGCACAATACTGTGACTGGACCAGTACACAAATAACCCACACATAAGAGGCTGAAACTTACGACATTTCAGCCCAACTTGGACTGTTAACTAGCCACAGTGTGTAACCAGCTAATGGTCCAAATTGGACAAAAGTGTCATAAGATTGTCTCCTGTGTGCAGGTTATTTGTGTATAGGCTGTATAGATTTTCTGTATGTATTTATGTATTATATTTTTGTTTCACTATTTAGACTTCCGGATTCAGATACTCCTAGACCACCAGGCAAGAACTTCCGTCCCCTCTACGACATTCCTTGGTTGTTTGAGGCACGAGAGTTCTTGCGTAAAAAGCTCATTGGACAGAAGGTTCATTGCACGGTTGATTATATCCAGCCGGCTCAGAATAACTTCCCTGAAAAAACCTGCTGTACTGTCAAAATTGGAGATGTGTAAGTTTGGCACATTGTAGACAAGTATGGAATTTTCTGTATTTTTCTTGCCTTGGTTGATAGGCTTCATTGACTTGAAATGCAAGTGATGCCTTGTTACTATTTAAAATTTTCAAAAATTTGAACATGTCGGAATACAAACTGGATTTTTTTTACAAAACGACAAAAAAAAAAAAAAATTTTAGTCTTTCTTTTGTTACTTACCAAGGATTAGCATGAATATTATCATTATTTTTATGCTCTAGATTCACTAACCATTAGGAGCGGCATAAGAGGTGAAGTTTTTTATTGTCAAATTCAGCCTTCATTTATTTATCATTGCTTATGATTATAAGTTTACCATATATCCTGATTAGTGTTCATATTTAATTCTTCACTTTTTTCTGTAAGTATTTATACCTCTCATCACAATCCTCTCTGCACTTAATGATCTAAATTCTGCCTTGTTCTGTTGGTGGGTCTACTGGAGTTTCTAGAGAGGAAAGGGAGGTACTGTCTTAGTGTAGGTTAGGTTCTGTGACAGTTTCCAGGAGCCAGATGAAGAATGAGGGACCTTGTCAACTTCCTTGGTATGCCATTGTGCCATTGTCTTGAAAGATACTCCTCATGGCACTGTACTTGAGGGCATGGTCAGTCATGTTCACTGGCCCTTCTTAGGTTCTTATCGAGCCAGGTCATCAGTCTGTAACCAAGGCATAAGTACCTGGTTACTGGTGCAATTGCTTTCCTTTGACAGCTATCCAGCTGCATCTTCCTCCATCCATGGATGTCTTCTCCCACAGGTACTCTCAACAGCCCTCTGCTAGATTACCAAGACGTCCTTCCTACTAAACACCTGGGTTACCCCCCACATTTTCGTCGGAACTTTGCCACCAGTGGTGAGGTGACAGTGAGGAGTGAAAATGTTGAAGTAAGATAAGCTTACCCTTCTGTCTCTACCACATCCTCACTCAGGTGCCATACATTTGCTGCTGTTGCCCTTCCCCTGCAATGAACTTCAGGGTGCTACTGGGGTTGTGAGCGACTTCATCCTCTACACTTGGTGAAAAATCACACTTGTGATTCTTTCTCAGGTTGAAAATAGGTGTATGGTCCAACAGGTAATGCTGCAGACAGCTCCAAACTTTGGAATTAAAACTCCAAATTAAAAGTTGTGGGTCTCAGTATGGTTTAAGAGGAAGATCCTTTGTGAGACCTCTACCCACTCTACCGGAGGTATCCCAGCGAGTGAGCACGTCCCCTGTATATCCCAGTGCTTAACAAGCTAGGGAATAGCATATGAAGGTACAAATAAAAATGGGAACTATGGCTATAGTTTACTTAATAACAAAAAAGGGCTAGAATACAACATCTCCTGATGGAAATTTACACAATATAACAATTGACCTATGAGACTTATTACCAGGGGAAGGGTAGATGTATCATAAACACGGACTAGTACTCACTCTTAATTCACCGACCAGCTGACCCGAGGTTCCCAATGCGTGGTCTACTACACACGCGGCTGTCCAGAGCATCTCGCTCGACGGACCTGTCCACCAACAACCTCCTTGCCCCGCTCTTCCCTGGGCTTATATCGTAGTCAAAGTACCCCCCTCCCCAATGTTGTATGTACCACGTGTACGACCTGACGCCTAGGTCTGAGGCGTCAAGAACAAAAGACCTCAGACGTGGGCGTGGCTACAGACGCCTGCCAAGGCAAGGTGTGACCATATAATTGGTCAAATTAGGTCTCCCCAGAGACCTCACAAGCCCAGCTGGACTACATCACACCTTGCCTTCTTACTGAAGGAAGAAAGAAAAGGGAAGGTGGGATGGGGTTGGTTGCTAGTCCCTCAACCATTGCTGCTGGTCCTCTGTTAAGTCTTTAATCTAAAATTGGTATAAATTCGAGTAAGTAAGGTGGTAATGGTACCTTACTGGGATCTACCCTCTTTCTGCACGCCATATTGGATACTCTACTCTTTTAAGATATGACCCCTATGGGTTCATTGTTTCTGTGAATGTAAAAGTAACACACCTCTGAGTTGGACTCATTGCTGCTGTTGGCTGTTAATGATATGGGGTGTGAGTGGCTGCTATTTTGACTGATATACAGCAGCACTGCTGGTGTTATTAATGAACCCTAAGTAGTTAAGTGTGAATATCTTAAGGGGAATAGGGCAAACCTGGGAGGCACCAATAGAGGAGGAGATACACCAGGACATATCAGCAGTTTCTGGGGAAAATTAAGCTGTTAACCTCTTGTTAATTTATTTTCCCTTCTCCAAAATATTAATCCTTTGCTTTTTAAAGAAGAGATGAGCTAGGAACCTTCGTCATTGCATGACTGGAATTAATGTGTGTCATTTGTATTGAGGAGTCATCCTCAACACCACTTACCTTGGGTCTAGTAGTTAGTTCCTCTAGGTGTGAATATTTTTTCACTTTATTTACTTGCAATGTATTATCCTCCTCCAAATGGCTATGAAGGTTGAATTCTACATCTAGTGATTAGTTCAGAATGTATTTTTTTTATTATAGAAGACTTTCTAAGAAGGCTATGTCTTCTTACAAGAAAATGTTTGGTTTATAAAAAGCTTGGTGTATTGGTTTATGAACAACTTGGTGTGCATTGAGGGATTTGGGGGAAATTTGAAGGCAGGGATTAAAAAAAAAAAAGTGGCACTTGTAAGACGGGAGATTTAGGTTCGGTGAGTCTTCGTTATGTGCATATAATGCAGAATGTGTATTCTTTGGGTTACCTGCCATTATTCTTAAAAGTCAAATATGGATGGCTTTAATGATCATACAGTATGTTGCTATTCTTAACCACTGCACTGTGTATATCACTGGAGTACTATTACTAGAACACTAACTCCGATATCAATATTTCATATGAGAAAGGCCCTTTATTAATTTTGCACTTTAGAAGCTCCGTTGTCTGCATGTGGGGGGGGGAATGCTACAGAAGTGGAATATCATGGATGAATCATTGTAGCACACTTGAGATGATGTAAAATACATAAAGCAAAGGTAAATGCATAACCAAAAGACGATATAGCAGCTGCAGATTATGTATACATGTATATATTTTTTTTTCTTATTTCCCGTTTTCTAGTTAGAAGATAGCAATCATTGATTGGGAGCATTTGTCATTTGCTGAAGATTGTCTAAGGAAATTAAATTAAGTTACGAATACCATAAGAAATCTATATATAAAAATTAGCTTTGTTTATTCACATGATCACTGAGTTTTGTAACTAGTTTTGCAAGTGGTTGCAAGGCGATGAAACCTAATGAAACGTTTTGGGAGCAGGTTCCCAGCTGCACACTAGGAGCTTAATTTCATTGGTAATGTGTTGGTAATTTTATTACTTGACTGCAATTACAAATGCAATGAAATAGTGTTACTTTTTTTTTTTTTTTTTTTTTTTTTTTTTTTTTTTTTTTTTTTAATGCTGGCCATCTCCCACTGAGGCAGGGTGACCTCAAAAAGAAACACTTTCACCATTCACACAATCACTCAAAATTTAAATCACTTTAGTATACAAGATTGTTTTTGGGATTTCCTCAGCACACCATTGTTGACTTCATCAAAAAAATGCTCACTGATGTCCTAATTTTTGTCCTCTAGATTTGGAATTGATTTGCTAAAAGATGTTCTATTAATGCTAATTCACATGCCTTCACTCTAAAGGTAGTGTTGAATGTTTTACTCTTCTTGATGAGTATCTTAATAAATGTACTGCATACTGGTAATATAAACATAACAGGAAGGTTAAAAAAGTTTATTATGCCCTCCTCCCCCACTTCTTTTTCTGGTGTGGTAGGTCAGGCATTTGGAGGTTCAGGAATGTCCCTATTACATATTCGTAAGTGTTTATTAACTATCGACGAAGAAAGGGAGGCGGTAATTTCATGCACTGGCCAGGGAGGTATAACATCTTTTAGGAGTGAAGAAGAGCTGGATGTGAGTGTGGGGGAGGTGCATGAGGCATTATGTAAAATGAAAGGGGGTAAAGCAGCTGGAACTGACAAGATCATGACAAATGTTAAAAGCAGGGGGAGACAGTGTTGGAGTGGTTAGTATTTTTGTTTAATAAACCTAGGTAGTAGGTTAGTAGACAGCAACCACCCAGGGAAGTACTACCGTCCTGCCAGATGACTGTGAAACAGAAACCTGTAACTGATTTGCATGATGGTAGGATTGCTGGTGTCTTTTTCTGTCTCATAAACACGCTAGATAACAGGGATATCTTGCTACTCCAACTTACACTTTGGTCACACTTCACAGACCTGCACATGCATATATATATACATACATCTAGGTTTTTCTCCTTTTTCTGCATAGCTCTTGTTCTTCTTTATTTCTTCTATTGTCCATGGGGAAGTGGAAAAGAACCTTTCCTCCGTAAGCCATGCGTGTCGTATGAGGCGACTAAAATGCCGGGAGCAATGGGCTAGTAACCCCTTCTCCTGTAGACATTTACTAAAAAATAGAAGAAAAACTTTATAAAACTGGGATGCTTGAATGTGCGTGGATGTAGTGCAGATGACAAACAGATGATTGCTGATGTTATGAATGAAAAGAAGTTGGATGTCCTGGCCCTAAGCGAAACAAAGCTGAAGGGGGTAGGGGAGTTTCGGTGGGGGGAAATAAATGGGATTAAGTCTGGAGTATCTGAGAGAGTTAGAGCAAAGGAAGGGGTAGTAGTAATGTTGAATGATCAGTTATGGAAGGAGAAAAGAGAAGATGAATGTGTAAATGCAAGAATTATGTGGATTAAAGTAAAGGTTGGATGCGAGAAGTGGGTCATAATAAGCGTGTATGCACCTGGAGAAGAGAGGAATGCAGAGGAGAGAGAGAGATTTTGGGAGATGTTAAGTGAATGTATAGGAGCCTTTGAACCAAGTGAGAGAGTAATTGTGGTAGGGGACCTGAATGCTAAAGTAGGAGAAACTTTTAGAGAGGGTGTGGTAGGTAAGTTTGGGGTGCCAGGTGTAAATGATAATGGGAGCCCTTTGATTGAACTTTGTATAGAAAGGGGTTTAGTTATAGGTAATACATATTTTAAGAAAAAGAGGATAAATAAGTATACAAGATATGATGTAGGGCGAAATGACAGTAGTTTGTTGGATTATGTATTGGTAGATAAAAGACTGTTGAGTAGACTTCAGGATGTACATGTTTATAGAGGGGCCACAGATATATCAGATCACTTTCTAGTTGTAGCTACACTGAGAGTAAAAGGTAGATGGGATACAAGGAGAATAGAAGCATCAGGGAAGAGAGAGGTGAAGGTTTATAAACTAAAAGAGGAGGCAGTTAGGGAAAGATATAAACAGCTATTGGAGGATAGATGGGCTAATGAGAGCATAGGCAGTGGGGTCAAAGAGGTATGGGGTAGGTTTAAAAATGTAGTGTTAGTGTTCAGCAGAAGTTTGTGGTTACAGGAAAGTGGGTGCGGGAGGGAAGAGGAGCGATTGGTGGAATGATGATGTAAAGAGAGTAGTAAGGGAGAAAAAGTTAGCATATGAGAAGTTTTTATAAAGTAGAAGTGATGCAAGGAGGGAAGAGTATATGGAGAAAAAGAGAGAAGTTAAGAGAGTGGTGAAGCAATGTAAAAAGAGACCAAATGAGAGAGTGGGTGAGATGTTATCAACAAATTTTGTTGAAAATAAGAAAGTTTTGGAGTGAGATTAACAAGTTAAGGAAGCCTAGAGAACAAATGGATTTGTCAGTTAAAAATAGGAGAGGAGAGTTATTAAATGGCGAGTTAGAGGTATTGGGAAGATGGAGGGAATATTTTGAGGAATTGTTAAATGTTGATGAAGATAGGGAAGCTGTGATTTCGTGTATAGGTCAAGGAGGAATAACGTCTTGTAGGAGTGAGGAAGAGCCATTTGTGAGTGTGAGGGAAGTTCATGAGGCAGTAGGTAAAATGAAAGGGGGTAAGGCAGCCGGGATTGATGGGATAAAGATAGAAATGTTAAAAGCAGGTGGGGATATAGTTTTGGAGTGGTTGGTGCAATTATTTAATAAATGTATAGATGAGGGTAAGGCACCTAGAGATTGGCAGAGAGCATGCATAGTTCCTTTGTATAAAGGCAATGGGGACAAAAGAGAATGCAAAAATTATAGGGGGATAAGTCTGTTGAGTATACCTGGTAAAGTGTATGGTAGAGTTATTATCGAAAGAATTAAGAGTAAGACGGAGAATAGGATAGCAGATGAACAAGGAGGCTTTAGGAAAGGTAGAGGGTGTGTGGACCAGGTGTTTACAGTGAAACATGTAAGTGAACAGTATTTAGATAAGGCTAAAGAGGTCTTTGTGGCATTTATGGATTTGGAAAAGGCGTATGACAGGGTGGATAGGGGGGCAATGTGGCAGATGTTGCAGGTGTATGGTGTAGGAGGTAGGTTACTGAAAGCAGTGAAGAGTTTTTACGAGGATAGTGAGGCTCAAGTTAGTGTATGTAGGAAAGAGGGAAATTGTTTCCCAGTAAAAGTAGGCCTTAGACAAGGATGTGTGATGTCACCGTGGTTGTTTAATATATTTATAGATGGGGTTGTAAGAGAAGTAAATGCGAGGGTCTTGGCAAGAGGCGTGGAGTTAAAAGATAAAGAATCACACATAAAGTGGGAGTTGTCACAGTTGCTCTTTGCTGATGACACTGTGCTCTTGGGGGATTCTGAAGAGAAGTTGCAGAGATTGGTGGATGAATTTGGTAGGGTGTGCAAAAGAAGAAAATTAAAAGTGAATACAGGAAAGAGTAAGGTTGAGGATAACAAAAAGATAGGTGATGAAAGATTGGATATCAGATTGGAGGGAGAGAGTATGGAGGAGGTGAATGTATTCAGATATTTGGGAGTGGACGTGTCAGCGGATGGGTCTATGAAAGATGAGGTGAATCATAGAATTGTTGAGGGGAAAAGGGTGAGTGGTGCACTTCAGAGTCTGTGGAGACAAAGAACTTTGTCCTTGGAGGCAAAGAGGGGAATGTATGCGAGTATAGTTTTACCAACGCTCTTATATGGGTGTGAAACATGGGTGATGAATGTTGCAGTGAGGAGAAGGCTGGAGGCAGTGGAGATGTCATGTCTGAGGGCAATGTGTGGTGTGAATATAATGCAGAGAATTCGTAGTTTGGAAGTTAAGAGGAGGTGCGGGATTACCAAAACTGTTGTCCAGAGGGCTGAGGAAGGGTTGTTGAGGTGGTTCGGACATGTAGAGAGAATGGAGCGAAACAGAGTGACTTCAAGAGTGTATCAGTCTGTAGTGGAAGGAAGGCGGGGTAGGGGTTGGCCTAGGAAAGGTTGGAGGGAGGGGGTAAAGGAGGTTTTGTGTGCGAGGGGCTTGGACTTCCAGCAGGCATGCGTGAGCGTGTTTGATAGGAGTGAATGGAGACTAATGGTTTTTAATACTTAACGTGCTGTTGGAGTGTGAGCAAAGTAACATTTATGAAGGGGTTCAGGGAAACCGGCAGGCCGGACTTGAGTCCTGGAGATGGGAAGTACAGTGCCTGCACTCTGAAGGAGGGGTGTTAATGTTGCAGTTTAAAAACTAGTGTAAAGCACCCTTCTGGCAAGACAGTGATGGAGTGAATGATGATGAAAGTTTTTCTTTTTCGGGCCACCCTGCCTTGGTGGGAATCGGCCAGTGTGATAATAAAATAAAAAAAAATATATACTTCTAAATTGTTGTATTCTGGGGACCTCTGCAAAAACAGTGATTATGTGTGAGTGAGGTGAAAGCGTTGAATAATGATGAAAGTATTTTCTTTTTGGGGATTTTTTCTTTTTTGGGTCACCCTACCTCGGTTGGAGATGGGCTACTAAATTAATAGGTGCATACTTTCATCTGAGATCTACATGGGCCATTTGTTTGTGTAGGTATTTTTAGGTTGTCCTTCAACTTGGGTATTTTAATCTTCAGAAATGTGGGTGAAGCCATGGTGAGCAAAGGCTATGCTACAGTTATCAGATACAGACAAGACGATGATCAGCGTGCCAGTTGTTATGATGATTTGCTGTCTGCAGAAGCCAAAGCTATTAAGTCAGCAAAGGGTCTGCACAACAAAAAGGAGACACCCATTCACAGAGTTGCCGACATCTCTAGTGTAAGTGTGCTTTATTAAACAAGTTCAGTTTGATACACTATCTTTATTAGATGTCTTGTATGTTAAAATGCAGAAATTCCAGAAAATTTGATAACTTGAAGTGGTTTGTCATACTGTGAATAGTCCTCAGGTTACACTTAACTCTTCTCAGTGGACCCCGTGAATTCGTGGTTCCGAATTTGTGACTTCAGTGATTTACATATTTTTCTTTAGACCCTAACTAATAATTGTTCACAGAAATCCCCGCAAATACGCGGAAATTTTTTTTTGTTTTTTTGCTCTTTGTGGCTGTATATAATTTATGCATTTTAATGCTAAAGATTAAGAAAAATATAGTTTATATATTTACTGTACATATGCCAGAGACAACGGGCCTGCATGAATTACAGTACATCAGTACATATGGGGGTAACATCGGTGTTTTACATTCTAGCACTATGGGGAGACACAACAGTATAGTACTGTGTAGTGGTTTATTTTTTTTTTTTTTTAAGGGTGGTGTATGAAGCTGTTTGAAATTTAATTGAAGTGTTTTGGGGATATATTTAGGGTTTAACCTATAAAAATAGGCATTTATAAGCATTTTTCTTAACCGCATCCAGAATTCGAGGCTTTTCCAAATTTGTGGGTGGTCTTGGAACGTAACCCCCGCAGATTTGGGGGGACTACTGTATGTTGTCAGTTTGGTTTCATTTAGATTATGCTGCACAGTTTGTCACCATAATACAAAATGGACATAAATTTACTAGAAAACATAAAGAGGAGGATGACAAAGTTGATCTCTTGTATCAGAAATCTTTCCCATGAGCATAGACTGAGGGCAATGAATCTGCACTCTCTAGAAAGGCATAGAATTGGGAAGAATATGATTGAGGTTTATAAATGGAAAATGGGAATAAATTAAGGGAATGTAAGTAACATGCTAAAAAGTTCTAGCCAAAACAGGACTCGCAGCAATGGGTTCAAGTTGGCAAAATTTAAATTTAGAAAGTACTGTATATAGGAAAATATTGCTTTGGTAGTTGTGGATGAGTGGAACAAACTCCTGAGTGATCATTGAAGCTACTCAGGAGCTTGTTAGACAATTACATGAGTAGGTGAGTTGAACTTACCTAGCATGTGCCAATAGGCCTACTGCAATGCTCCTCATGTTCTTATGAATTCCATGGTTAATTTTGTCTTGAAGCACAATAATTAAGCTGTGGATCCATTTTGCTAATAAACACAATGAGCGCATGTTCAAACTTCTTTACCGGTTGGAGTCAAGAGTTACCAAAGTTGATCTTCATTTTAATATTGGCTATTTTTTCCTATGCTTGTTACCTTGGTAAAGCTATATTCAGGAATCTTTCCTTATTTCAGGATGTTGGAAAAGCCAAGGGCTTCCTACCCTTCCTCCAACGTGCTGGTCGTACTGAAGCAGTGGTAGAGTTTGTGGCGTCAGGTTCACGTGTCCGTCTGTTTATACCCAGGGAGACTTGTCTCATCACATTCCTACTGGCAGGCATCAGCTGTCCCAGAGCTACACGACCAGCTCCTGGAGGTGTTGGTGGCACTCTTCCTGGTGAATCTTATGGTGAAGAGGCTCTCGCATTGACCAAGAATCTTGTGTTGCAGCGAGAGGTTGAGATTGAGGCAAGTTATCTGAAGTTACTTCATGTAAAAAGTGTATAATTTCACATTTGTAATTATTACAGGAAGAATACTTGTATATCTATATTGTGGTTAATTTGGATTACTAGATTTTTTTCTTTTTTGTTATAGAAACTTTATGCATGTATACCTGTGCAGGCACAAACATGTACACTCCATACATAATTTTAAGAGCAGGTATGATACAGCCCATAAGGCTGAGGGAATAAATCTGAAGAGTGGCAAGTTAAGCAGGGACCAGGATTTGAAAATTTACCCCTGCAGCCACAAATAGGTGAGTGCTCTTATTCACTCATCCTCTTACAATACAAAAAAAGAAACCCTAGTATTTTGAGGAAATTAATGTGATCTCTACTAATTGCTAGACAGGGAACATTGAATGTAGTTCTTGAAGATTGAAAGATGTCTCCAACTCTTTGCAGTATGTAGGTAGTAGGTTTGTCAACAGTAATCATCCAGGAAGGTACAAAAAACCTGTCATGCGAGTGACATGAAAGTCTGTTAACGTTTTTTGCACTCGGTATTTATGGCCTGGTGTACCTCATGGAAATATAAGGTGTCTGCTAAGTCTTAAAAGCTTCTACTTATTCAGTATACTTTTCTTCATTTTCCTTTATATTTCTTAACCCTTTCTCTGTGTCCCACTTAGATCCACATTATTGATGCTAGTGTCACTCGTGTAGATCGCATTTCAGCACGGCATCCTCCAATACGCTGTAACCAGTAAATTTTGGCTTAGACATAAGAGAATGGAACTGTGTATTGAATATGCACAGTATGAAGCAGTAAAGTGTCATGCAGTGTATAATGGGAAAAGCAAACCTTTGACCTTGTGTTTTGTTTAAAATAGTGACTGAAGTATTTTCTTGGTATCAGATGATAGTATGGAAGACATTGAAATAGAGATTTTAGTCACTCTGACTGGAAATTGCTTGAAATAGGGCTCAAAGTAATGTTCATATTCTATTTTTGACAATTTTATTAAAAGGTAGAACCCCCCCTCCACCCCCAAACAGTCTATTTTATGGGTTTTTACTGGGTCTGCTTCAATTATTGGCATTCAAGCTCATGAAACTCAAAATGCTTTGACAAACGTTTGGTGACAAGGCACTGGATCAGTGTTTTGAATGGTTTTCTTAATTCAATGCAGGGTGAACTTCGGTTAAGGATGATGAATGCTCTGGTTGTCTTGCGTCAAAAACAGGTGCCAACATTGAAAAAGTGAGGGAGACTATTTGCGAAGGTCGTTGTCAGAATACCCAGGACATTACAAGTTCTGTGGGAATTTCTTATTGGTCATGTCAGAGTATTTCGATGGAAATCTTCAATATGAGGAGAATGGCTGTGATTTCGTTCTCTTCCCAAAAAATAATAAAAACCACACTGTGGGCAGTGTTTTAACGACATTGAGATTCAAGCAGAATCACAGGCCATGCTAGACTCTTAACAGAGTTCCTGAAATGTTTTGAAAAGTTGTATAAGTACTCTCTCCTAGAGAGAGTACTTATACAACTTCGTTCCTATCAATAGATACCCTAAGACAGCCAATAAAACTATAAAAAATAACACCTCAGAATTACTATTTTAAACCAAATACAAGGTTAAAGTTTGCCTTTTCCATCATGCACAGCAAGGGACAAGATTTATTTTATATTACACACACTACACTGATCCATTCATGCCTAGGCCAAAATTTACTGCTTGCAACATATTGGAGGGTACTGTGCTTAAAACTGGTGTCTTTGTCTTGTGGTGTATACACAGACTGATTTTATATTTTTATTTTAGGTTGACTCCATGGACAAAGGTGGAAACTTCATTGGCTGGCTTCATGTAGAAAACAAGAACCTTTCTGTTCTTCTTGTTGAAGAAGGCCTCAGCTCAGTTCACTTCACAGCTGAATCGTCTAAGTTTTATCATTTGCTCACTGCGGCACAAGACTCTGCGAAAGCGAAGAAACTTAATATTTGGGCAAACTTTGTTGAGGAAGAAAAAGAGGACAAGGTTAATACGTTTGTTAATTTTGTACTGCATTTTTTTGTTTTTTACCTCAACCACTAGTTCCCACCAACACTGGGTGACCCAAAAGAAAAGGAAACTTATTCACTATCATTCATTCAATCGTGTCTTGCCAGAAGTGTATCGAAGTCAAAATTCAGATGACCCTCAGATTGTAACATCCTTGCTCTTCCCTAGTTCAGTGCCCTTCTCTCCTCCAGGACTCAGGTTGGCTAACCAGTTTCCCTGATTTCTTTCATAAGTTATCCTGCTCACACTCAATTAACAAAAAAAAAAAAAAAAAAAAAAAAATCTTAGCAAAGTGGATGAGCCAAAAAAGAAAACATTTTTAACTTGTGTAGGACATATGAAATCTAGTATAGGCACTAGGCATTCCACTCGTTACTCACTTCTGGTTAACTAGTTACCATAAATGTGCTTATAAATGTTACTATACACTGACGGCACATTAAATTCCAATAAAAAGTGTCCACTCAGATCTGGCACACACACAACATACCTTTCAAAAGTTTTGTACTTGCCAGTGTGATAGATTATAAGAACATAAGAAAGGAGGAACACTGCAGCAGGCCTGTTGGCCCATACTAGGCAATTTATCCCACTAACAAAACATTTGCCCAACCCAATTTTCAATGCTACTCAAGAAATAAGCTCTCATGTGCAAGTCCCACTCAAATCCAACCCCTCCCACTCATGTACTTATCCAACCTATATTTGAAACTACCCAAAGTCCTAGCCTCAATAACCCAACTAGGTAGACTGCTCCACTCATCAACACCTTATTTCCAAACCAATACTTTCCTATGTCCTTTCTAAATCTAAACTTATCTAATTTAAATCCATTACTGCAGGTTCTCTCTTGGAGAGATATCCTCAAGACCTTATTAATATCCCCTTTATTAATACCTATCTTCCACTTATACACTTCGATCAGGTCTCCCCTCATTCTTCGTCTAACAAGTGAATGTAACTTAAGAGTCTTCAGTCTTTCTTCATAAGGAAGATTTCTAATGCTATGCATTAATTTAGTCATCCTACGCTGAATGTTTTCTAACTTAATTCATTCTTTAATTGTTTATGCACAGGTTCAAGATATGGTAAAGTTTTAAATTTGTTGTAGGCTGAGGAAACTGTAAGCGAGCGCAAAGTAGACTACAAGCCCATGATGATTGCTACAGTGACCCGGGAAGGTGTCTTGTATGGTCAGTATTGCTCTGAGGGACCCGCCCTTGAACAAATGATGGATAACCTTCGAACAGAATTTGAAAGCAAGCCACCACTTGGAGGAGCCTATAGTCCCAAACGAGGTAAAGTTACTGATGCACTTGCATTGAATTTATGGGGAAAATGCTAATTATTTTGATCATGAATAATCATTCTTCTGGAAAAATGCAAAACAGCTCATCTTGCAAGTATTCATTTTAAGATGAAATTATTGTAGATGGATTTTTAAAGAAGTTTAAGAGTACCTTGTGTAAATAGTAATTGGGTCATTTGTTGTAAGCAGCAGCAGAGAATTGGCATAAACTTATTTTTGAGAGACTGATATGAGCTTTTTCTTTGTCATATTAGTGTTTTTGTTAGACATTTTTTAAAACCATACATGCATGAAATTGGCTAAAATTACATAATATTGATTTTTAGATATGCATGTAGCACAAGGAACTGCATTAAAAATACAAATAAAAATTTATGCATTCATAATTACATCAACATTTATTCTTATGGTATGCAATAAATAATCGAAATTGTTGCTTGCCAGAAGTGTGCAGAAATCAGTTTGACACTGTACCACTATGTTCCTGCCCCTCTTTCACAGTGGAGGCAGTATACCTCCACCCTAGGACAAGTCTGGCTAACTTCCGTTGCCCTGGATTCCCTCATAAAGTTTAGTTTACCTTGCTCTCACTCCAGCAGCAAGTCAGGCTATAAAAACCGCTTGGTTGCCATTCACTCCGATATAACGTACACAAGCCTGCTAGATGTTGAGGCCCCATGCACTCGAAACATCCTTTACCCCTACCTCCAGCCTATCCTAGTTTGACCCCTACCCCTCTTTCCTCCATATTTCTAATGCCCAAATTGCCTTGTACCTTTGTTGATGCCACTCCATTTTCTAATTTCTGAATTCTGAATGTGAAATTCACACCACAAATTGCTTTCGAACATGACGTCTTCACTGCCTTCAGTCTCCTCACTGCAGTGTTTAAAGCCCATGCCTCGCATCCATATGGTACCACTGTACTCTTGTACATTTCGTCTTTTTACCTTCAGATAAACTCTGCTGAGATACCTCAACACTGCTTGCCTTTTTCCCCTAGTTTATTCTGTGGTTCACCTCATCTTTTGCAGGTCCATCTGCATACATTTCCACTCCAAAATATCCAAATTTTATTTGTTTATATTTTATTATTTTGCAAAATATTTAAACATTTTCTCTGCATTATGACAGGTGATCTGTGTGCTGCTCAGTTCACAGATGGTCTCTGGTATCGTGCTAAGGTTGAAAAGGTTGCTGGAAGTAACGTATCTGTACGTTATATTGACTATGGCAATAGAGAAGTTACTCAGTCTCTAAAATGTGCATCACTTCCTGGCAGTTTTTCATCTGCACCTCCCTATGCACATGAACTACACTTAGCCCTAGTGAAGTTCAGCAAAGATGTGAGTTTGTTTGTTTTACAGTACAGTGGACCCCCGACTTGCGATATTAATTCGTTCCAGAAGGCTGTTTGGGTGCCGTTACCGAACGAATTTGCTCCCATAAGGAATATTGTAAATTAGATTAGCCCGTTTCAGACCCCAAAAAATACTCATAAAAAGCGCTTTCAAAAATACACTTGCATAATTGCTTGAGTTGCGAGCTGATCGTAAGTTGGGGGTCCACTGTATTTTGTTAGTATGGTTAACTTTTTTAATTTGTATTTCATAATGGAGCCTCTACCATCCATTCTTGGTTTATTGAGGAATGTTTATATTGGAAGCTAACCTAGGTTTCTCTCCTGACCCTAGTGCCATGTAATATATAATGCTCAACAGTAAATTTATATAAGGAATAAAAACAAGTAAAACTAGCTTGCTATTTTTCATGAGATTTGACACGAGGCACACACAATACATCACTGAGGAGGAAGAGACTGGAACACTGCATTAATGGTACTTTCAGTGATACTTTGAATGATCCTTAATCCTATTCAGTATGAATAATGAGAGGGAAGATAAGGTCAGTGATCACATTTTAGTCCTAAAACATCCAGGCTTGAAATACTGCTATCAGTCTTTTCATTTGTGGCCACAGCTATTACAGGTGCAGGTGTGCTGATTGGATTCCTTGATGCAAGACTTGGTGATTGAGAGGGTGTGGGAATTTTCTTGAAATAGTGACTGATTTGTGATTTTTGTGGCATGTTGATTGAGATACCAGTAAGTTTCCATTCATGATCTTGTTAAAGTTGTAATCAGTTGCTGGATGATGAAACTTGCAGAACCATGATAGCAAGGACAAGGTTTATGGTAAAAGGTGATGCACAAGATTGTAGGTGTGTTGTAAGAGTAAGATGAATACTCTAGGGTAATCGTAAATAACTTTTGGAATATTGTACTTTGCTTTTATTGTATGGAAATTTTATAACTTATAATTTGATTGTGCTGTTGAATCCTCTGGTAGACAGCCGTGAAAGTAAAAGTTTCAAAGCAGGTTTATAACTTTTAAATACTTTTTCTTTGGTTATCTTTATTTCTGAGGTGACAGCTTCCTGAATTCTTCCCTGACATTTGAAGACTATTCCAGTTTTTCTTGGAGTACCTAAAATGGGAAAGAATTTTGCATAGTGGTTTGGTTATTATAAAAGTGTTGCCACATGCTTGTACTAGAAATGGGAATCTGGAAAGAAATGATTTGGCAGTGAAGTAGATGGCCTGCCTTTTAATAATTTAATAAAACAAAGTACATGTATGAATTTCTTTTTAGAGAGCTGGATTAGTGCTTGATTTTATTACATTATTATTACAATAGCTTGAGGGTAATGGAAGTGTTTTTAACAAGTAATAAAAAGCAGTTCTTCCTTTTTTCAGGATGACTATGTTGATGATGCATTGCAATTACTAATGGGTGAAGTAATGGAGCGAGAGGTTCTGGTCAACAGAGAATACCGTAATGGTGGTTTCGATTTTGTGACCATCCAGCGAGCAGACACTAAAGCTGACGTAGCTCGCACACTGCTCTCCCAAGGTTTGCTGTTGCTTGATGAACGCAAAGACAAGAGATTGCAGTCTCTGGTAAGTTAAAAATCCATGTTCATTGAAGTTATTGCAGGCATAACATTGCCAGTAATCAAGTTGGGGAATTGTGGAATAGACAAAAAATCCCCCCCCCCCCCCTCAACAAGTCGGCCGTCTCCCACCGAGGCAGGGTGACCCAAAAAAGAAAGAAAATCCCCAAAAAGAAAATACTTTCATCATCATTCAACACTTTCACCACACTCGCACATTATCACTGTTTTTGCAGAGGTGCTCAGAATACAACAGTTTAGAAGCATACACATATAAAGATACACAACATATCCCTCCAAACTGCCAATATCCCAAACCCCTCCTTTAGAGTGCAGGCATTGTACTTCCCATTTCCAGGACTCAAGTCCGGCTATATAAAAATAACCGGTTTCCCTGAATCCCTTCACTAAATGTTACCCTGCTCACACTCCAACAGATTGTCAGGTCCCAAGTACCATTCGTCTCCATTCACTCCTATCGAACACGCTCATGCACGCCTGCTGGAAGTCCAAGCCCCTCGCCCACAAAACCTCCCTTACACCTTCCTTCCAACCTTTTCGAGGACGACCCCTATCCCGCCTTCCTTCCCCTACAGATTTATACGCTCTCCATGTCATTCTACTTTGATCCATTCTCTCTAAATGACCAAACCACCTCAACAACCCCTCTTCTGCCCTCTGACTAATACTTTTATTAACTCCACACCTTCTCCTAATTTCCACACTCCGAATTTTCTGCATAATATTTACACCACACATTGCCCTTAGACAGGATATCTCCACTGCCATATGTAGTACCATATTTTTATATGGATTGGGTGTATTAATTAAAATGTAGAAATACATTTGACATCTGACTTGCTAATGTCTGAACCGAAATAATTTTCAGGTGAGTGAATACCGCAGTGCCCAGGAAGAAGCAAAAAGGAAACACTTGAGCATATGGCAGTATGGTGATGTTACTGACGATGATGCCCACGAGTTTGGTATGGAACGGTAAAGAGCGCTGCAGTCTGCACATTTTTTAATGCAGACTTAAATATAATAAAAAAAAAAAAGTGGTGACTGAAGTTTTAAGATAACGTTACATGGGGAAACTACTGTAATACAAAACATTGGTGATAGTGGACACACTTATATACTTTGGTATATAGAAATTTAGGCGATATGAACAATGCACTTAATTTTCACCATTAATGCTCCTAGATGTGCGAAACTTGCCTCACAAAATACTTGCCAATATTGCCTATTGGTGAAGGTTATCATCAGTGTTCTCTGTTGCCATGGTCACTTGTGTATTTGTAGCATACCTATTTTTCACTGAAAGGCAATTTGTGTACACTGTCTTCAGTTGAATGCGACTGCCAGAGCCGTTTGGTATTTATTTTAACGACATTTATGTTTTAAGTGTTTGTGCATAAAACCATGTTAATTTTCATTGGCTATTGGATTTTTTCTCTTTTTGAGGTGTTTCCTCAAGGTGTGTCAGTCCACTAGCTTTCTAAGTTTGCTTGGTGTCTACTCAACCTCAGCCCCTAAACTCTGGTAGTGAACGATTTGGCTGAAGGTGTGGTGTAACGAATGTAAATGATCTTTTTTGGCATCTGTTGCATCTTGCATACAAAGGTTGTTTCTAAATCCTAAGTATTTATGAATGGCTAAGCTCTCCAACTAGTGGAGATTAATCTTTGAAATTTTTATTTATATTTTATACTTCGTAATTTTTTTTTAAGCATGTATGCGGCCTGCACTTTATAAAAATTTATACGTGCCGAATAAAGCATTGTAGATGCTATTTTTAGCATCTGGAAGACGATTTTAGTTAATTTAACTAACACTGTTGTAATTAGTATATTTCGCAGAGATTATATGCAGATTAATGGGTACCAATATTCTTCTATATTTGAAGATGTACATATGAAAGTTATAACTAGAGTATTACATCCATTGACATAATCATGTCTACAGTTTGTCATTGTCCAGTGACTTCTACACCACTTTTATATAATTCACAAAGTTTATTTTTTGAAATTGTTGTTATTTAAATCCAGTTGTTTTAAGGGTAGAAGGAAGGGACACCATGGGTGAATTTTTTGAAATTAATATAAATGTCTTATACTGTATTAAGTGCCTTTTATTCTGACAATTTTTCCATTATGAATTATATTTAGAATGATGCTTAATTAATTTTATTTGTTTTGCATAGGTACAAAAATGTAGTTAGATTTCCATTAGTACTTAACTACATTTATCTTTGCTAAAGTTTGACATTAGGGACATCATTTGCATGTTTGAGATTCACTGGAAGATAGGAATAGCTACCATATTTAATATTCAACTTGCTTGACATGAACCATGCATGTAAACTGTTCTTTCTTTCAACACACCGGCCGTATCCCACCAAGGCAGGGTGGCCCAAAAAGAAAAACAAAAGTATGTAAACTCTTATGGTTTAAAATTAATATGGAACCCATTAATCAATTATATAAATAAATATGAAGCAAGGGGATGGGTTTGATATGCTTTAGAAAATCCTAGTATTTATAAAGGGATCTAGGAGTGCACCTTTTATATGGAATTACAAACTTTTTTTTTTTTTTTTTCAACAAGTCGGCGGTCTCCCACAGAGGCAGGGTGACCCAAAAAAGAAAGAAAATCCCCAAAAAGAAAATACTTTCATCATCATTCAACACTTTCACCACACTCACACATTATCACTGTTTTTGCAGAGGTGCTCAGAATACAACAGTTTAGAAGCATATACATATAAAGATACACAACATATCCCTCCAAACTGCCAATATCCCAAACCCCTCCTTTAAAGTGCAGGCATTGTACTTCCCATTTCCAGGACTCAAGTCCGACTATATGAAAATAACCGGTTTCCCTGAATCCCTTCACTAAATATTACCCTGCTCACACTCCAACAGATAGTCAGGTCCCAAGTACCATTCGTCTCCATTCACTCCTACCTAACATGCTCACGCACGCTTGCTGGAAGTCCAAGCCCCTTGCCCACAAAACCTCCTTTACCCCCTCTCTCCAACCCTTTCGAGGACGACCCCTACCCCGCCTTCCCTTTCCCCCTATAGATTTATATGCTTTCCATGTCATTCTACTTTGATCCATTCTCTCTAAATGACCAAACCACCTCAACAACCCCTCTTCTGCCCTCTGACTAATACTTTTATTAACTCCACACCTTTTCCTAATTTCCACACTCCGAATTTTCTGCATAATATTTACACCACACATTGCCCTTAAACAGGACATCTCCACTGCCTCCAACCGTCTCCTTGCTGCTGCATTTACCACCCAAGCTTCACACCCATATAAGAGTGTTGGTACTACTATACTTTCATACATTCCCTTCTTTGCCTCCATAGATAACGTTTTTTGACTCCACATATACCTCAACGCACCACTCGCCTTTTTTCCCTCATCAATTCTATGATTAACCTCATCCTTCATAAATCCATCCGCCGACACGTCAACTCCCAAGTATCTGAAAACATTCACTTCTTCCATACTCCTCCTCCCCAATTTGATATACAATTTTTCTTTATCTAAATCATTTGACACCCTCATCACCTTAATCTTTTGTATGTTCACTTTCAACTTTCTACCTTTACACACATTCCCAAACTCGTCCACTAACCTTTGCAATTTTTCTTTAGAATCTCCCATAAGCACAGTATCAACAAAAAGTAACTGTCAATTCCCATTTTGAATTTGATTCCCCATAATTTAATCCCACCCCTCTCCCGAACACCCTAGCATTTACTTCTTTTACAACCCATCTATAAATATATTAAACAACCATGGTGACATTACACATCCCTGTCTAAGACCTACTTTTACCGGGAAGTATTCTCCCTCTCTTCTACACACCCTAACCTGAGCCTCACTTTACTCTAAAATCTTAAGCATTTTTTAATCTTTCCCCTTTTTTTTATATTTGCAACATCCGTCTGCCACAGTTGCCCCAAAAATCCACTCTATCATAAGCCTTTTCAAATCCAAAATGCAATAAAAATTTCCCTATACCTTATCTAAACTGTACACATATATGATTACAATTAAACACTTTATCTACACATCCCTACCCATCCTTGAAGCCTCCCTTGACTTCATCCGCAATCCTACATTCCTGTCTTGCCTCTAATTCTTTCAATTATACCCTAAACTCACCGTATATTTTCCATTGTATACTCATTAAACTGTTCCTCTATAATTTGCTTACCAACTCTTATTGTCCCCTTTCCCTCTTATATAAGGACTACACGCTCTCTGCCTCTCCCTATAGTACCTTCCCCTCTTTCATACATTTATAAAAACCAACAGACCATATAACTACCAAAACTACTATCCCCCCTTTCATTAACTTCACATTGCTCCCTATCCACCTCTACTATGCCTTTTCTAAATCCATAAATGCAATAAAAATTCCCCACCTTTAAATCTGTTCTCATAATCTTCAATGTAAACACTTTATCTACCATCCCCTCCCACTCTGAACCTCCGCTGTCATCCGCAATCCTACATTCTGTCTTGCCTCTAATTCTTTCAATTATAACCCTAAAACCCTATACTTTTCCTGGTATACTCATAAACTTGTTCCTCTATAATTTTTACAATCTCTTTTGTCCCCTTTCCCTTTATATAAAGGGACTATACATGCTCTCTGCCATTCCCTAAGTACCTTCCCCTCTTTCATACATTTATTAAACAAAAGTACCAACCACTCCAAAACTATATCCCCCCCTGCTTTTAACATTTCTGTCATGATCCCATCAGTTCCAGCTGCTTTACCCCCTTTCATTTTACGTAATGCCTCACGTACCTCCCCCACACTTACATTCTGCTCTTCTTCACTCCTAAAAGATGGTATACCTCCCTGGCCAGTGCATGAAATTACAGTGAATTACAGTGCATGGAATTACAAACATCAGTTGAAATTGCTTGTAAAACCTGCAACCCTTGCATAAGCTGTTCATAGGAAATTTAAATAAGTACCTTTGCTGGTAGGAAGAAACTGAAAGCTTACAAATAAGAATTTTGTTGTTTTAAACAAGCATCACCTGTGGCATCAATTCTTTTGTGATTGTAATATCATGAAATAAGTGCCATTAACTACACTGGCTGGGACCTCCAGTGCCAGGTAGGTTTATTTTGACACGACTGAATCTGCTGATCTTTGACTGCTGTATAGCCCTTGTGGCTTAGCGCTTCTTTTTGATTATAATAATAATGATCTTTGACTACTCAGGCAGGCATAAGATGAATTACACCCTTTCAGTTAAGATGGTTTCTATAATACCCTTTTAATTAGTAAATACAGTTTGTCATGTCAAGCGTCTCCCCCTTTTTGTCAAGTTTCTTCACTTGCATTACCACTGCCATCTTTTTCTCCTGGCTCTGTCAATGCATCACTTGTATGGGTTTAGTACTTTTAAGAGTATAATCCACAGTGACTGCAGTCGGTATACTTTTTTTTGCCCTGCAGGTCAAAAGATCAAATGGGCAGCCCATCTCCATGCATAGCACAAGGATATGGAGTCCTCTTTTTGTCTCAAGACTACTAATTTTTTTTTTTCCCCTTATGCATTGTGCTGCAGGATATTTTTATATGGTGCTCACTTACTACATAGACCCATTCTCTCGTATCAAGGCCCAAATTTACCACTCATAGCTTATCTGGGCGAGCCGAGCTCATGGCGTAGTACTCCGGCACACCCAGTATAGTGGTTAATTGTTGTGCTTTATTGATTGCAATAATTTACCTACCCTCTTAAGTTCACAGTGTATCTTTTCCCCTTGGAAAGTCCTGGCAATTCACGTTTGCTCTGCCCATATCCAAAAAAGATTGCTTACCTGCCATAACATTGTGCTTGTTCTTCTTTGATCACATTCCATTCTTATTTTTTGTGCTATTACAGTGTATGCTGGATGTTCTAAATTCCCTGATGCTGTTGGGTGTGAAAGTTTTTCCCGACACAATCATTTACTTAGACTAGTGTTTTCACAGGAGAGTTGTAGGCAATTCTCATGGCTATCATGCACATTATATAAATGTCTGGTTAATCATCCATAGTTGTGTGGGGTTCTTATAGTGCATTGAAGATTTTTTAAGTAATCTCTTGACAACCCCACAATTGATGTAAATGTTGGTTCACAAATTTTGTCAAATTACATTTAGATTTCTGGCCATCTTCCAACCCTATCAGCAGGCATGCAGAATTCACTTTGTCATTTCTACCACCCCAACAGTTAATTTCAACTGACCTTTTTGCCAAAAGTTCCACCTTTGATGTAGACACACTGACTTTAACAGACACTAACATATAAGACCAACTATGATTTTACTTTTCCTCAAGCACTCTTCCCTAACCCCTGCCCTCACACACTCCTTCCTTACATTCCACCTTTGCACAATGATCTTATCACACATCCCTACTTAAGTGCTATACGACCCTTTTTTCTCAAGGGAGGTTCCTTGATGCTGGTGAGGGGCTAGGGAATTGGAGCTGTGCTCCTGTTCCCTGAGTACCTTCCATATTTAATGCTACCCTACTTAGTGTTGCATTACCCTTTTGGGTTTAGCGCTTAATCAAATTATTATTCTTTCAACAAGCCGGCCGTATCCCACCGAGGCAGGGTGGTCCAAAAAGAAAAAAAAAAGTTTCTCTTTAAATTTAGTAATATATACAAGGGTTACTAGCCCCTCAGTCCTGGCATTTTAGTTGCCTCTTATGACATGGCTTACATAGGAAGAATTCTGTTCCACTTCCCCATGGAGAATAAATAACAAAAAGGCACAATACCGTGACTGGAACGATACACAAATAACCCGCACATAAAAGACAGAAGCTTACGAAGACGTTTCGGTCCGACTTGGACCATTGACAAAGTCACACTGTGTTGTGTATTCCCCATGGAGATTATTATTATTATCTCAGTAGTTTCCTTGTTGCAAGTAAGGCACCTGATACAAGGAACTAGACCTGACTTTGATTATCTAACAGTTGCAATGCTGTGGGGGTCATTCCAACAACAGAACTAACACCAATAATATAATCAGACTAAGTGCTAAACCTAGAAAACTACCATTAGATGTTCCCCTAAAGGAAGGCATACTTTGATGTTGAAGGACTGTCAAAATCATGACCCTTTCCTTGTATCAAATCTGATTGCCTCCCAATCGTCTGGTACTCTGAGAGTTGTGGGTTTAGTACTAATTTCCCCCTCAAGGAAGGTTCCTTGATGTTGGTGAGGGGCTCTTGATTTAGGGAATTGGATCTGTGCTCCAGTTGCCTGAATGCCTTCCACATCCCCCCCCCCCCAGGCGCTGTATAATCCTCCGGGTTTAGCGCTTCCCCCTTTGCTTATAATAATTACTACTAATTCCACGAGTGCAATAACAGCAGGTGTTTCTGATTCAAGAGTGGCACCCAAAGGTGCTAGTGTCAGCACCTGCCAGTTTGCCCTCTCCCATTATTACCTGA